CTCCTGAAGAAGAATAGTCAACTATTCGAAAGCGCTCGAGTTTTGGGTCTTATGTTAAGTCTATTACACTTTATATGTGATCCTTTGTGCTAACTCTTTCATCAAAAAAGATGTTAATCAGTAACACTGAACAAGGGCTAGTCGAAAGATCAGGAATGGAGATTTTATAGTATTGTTACGACAGCGGTAGTCACGTGACTCTGGTAACACGTCATGATATTCTAGAAGGATCGGGGAACATCACGAATAATCCAGTATGTGCTAGGCGCCCTCTATTCCTGTATATAAATGCGCCGGATAACGTGAGACAAATTAATCGGAATTGAATTGCAGACAGACAGAGTCAAGCGCGGTAGTAAGTAAGTGCGTGAATTGTTCCCTGTGAATTATAACGTGTTTTTATAAAATTAGTTAAGTTAAATTGACTGTGGAAATTAAGTGTATTGCAAAGTTGAATTGAGAAAGAATAAACTAGTTTTATTTAAGAAAGGACTTGTGTCGCTAAAGTTTCATCGTAAAGAAATTATACGAGAAATTAACTAACGACCAGAGACGTAACAGTAATGTTACGTCTCTGTGTTCGTTTGTTAATTTTCCGTAGAAATTCTTTCCAAACTTAACTTAAGCACACGCTATAATTTACAACGAACGATTCACGCACTTTACTTACTACCGCGCTTGACTCAATTGTCCGTCTATATCTTCAATCTCTCTGTCCACTATTCTATTGTTGCCGTCACTTCTTGCTGGTCTTATATATAATAAAAGCGTACATCTCGACTTTTCGCGAATCTTCTAGATATCCATCACGTGTTACCAGGGTCACGTGACTTCCGCTGTCGTAACAGTATCCTAAAAATTGATTAAAACTACAGGAGAGTATGCTTTGGTAGTGCTTACTTAGTATGTAAGAAAAAAAAATGGCCGACACATATTATGTATTGCTTATCATAGTCTCAAATCTCTTTTATAACAATCTAAGAGACTTTTATAAACACCTAATAGGTTTTGAAAAGTTATTAGGACCTTTAGTTTAGCCAAAAACCATCACTCAAGTAGAGAACCTGCGAGTAGCGTAACAGCCAAATGTTCTGCTGATTATTCTGACCCTGACGTCAGAAGGGCTAGCTCACCAAAGGTTGAAGTTATTGCAATGGTTTACCCACCAAAATGTTGCATTTTAACTTGGGGAGTGCAGAAGCGGTATAGCGTTTCACTCACTTCAACACACGATATCATCAAGACAACTCATCACATTAGGCTAAAACTGCTGCCTTCATAGCGACTGTCATTCATTATAAAATATTCATTGGTTTTGTTTAAAAAAAGAAGGAAAACAAGTAATAAAAAAATTTGAAAAAATACGGATGATGTTGGGATGGCAATGTCAAAAAGTACAGAAGCAAAGTAGGGATGAATACACAAAAATCTCTACATAAGTAGCCACTGAGTCAATGTTAGAAGCTTTTGAGAATTAGCCACTGTAAGACTTTATAACATTATTCAGTTTATTGCTTTTTTAAAACCTGAATTTATGTAAATGAAAGGAATTCAAATTTTAGTTGCAGACAAAAGTTTTTCTTGGAAAGATTTGGCAACTTGTATAGGGATTTTTGTATGGTTTTGTGTATTCATCCCTACCTTGTTTCTGTACTTTTAGGCATTGCCATCCCTGCATCCTTATTTTTTTCAACACTTTTATTACTTATATACACATACACTATTTCTCAATCTTCATGTCCTGTGTTGTTTTTTTCTACCTTAAGACACCGATGTACCATCATATATCATCATTTTTTATGAACAACAATTGTTATCTCCCGGTGGGACAACGGTAAGTCTACCGACTTGCAACGCTAAAATTCGAGGTTCGATTCCCCGCGATGGACACAGCATAGAGCCCATTGTGGCTATGCTCTACAACAACCAAAACAACAACTGTTATGGTGTGAACCAGTTTAAGCAAGTGAATTTTAATTATTTCTATTCTTTTTTTTTGTCATCTACAAAGCTGATAAAATTAACAATACAACATTATTTATTTTCATTTCTGACACAGATTACTTATTTTAATTATTTTTTATATTTCATTTGAAATAACATTACTATTATTCACAAGAACTGCCCAACCAGGAAACTGGAGCGGGTCAGGCAACCTTACCATCAACTGAAGAAAACTGTATGGTGTGCTAGTTGACTCTTACTCACCACAGTAAAGAATAGGTAGTACTAATACTTGTTTTCAGAAGAATAAATTAATAGTA